TTGAAAAGAGCAAATCACTTTGAAACTCCACACAGATTGGACAGGAGCTAAATGTTTTCCTTGGCAGATAACAGGATACGACGGTTGAGGTTAATTTAAATGTACGTGTGTAAAAATAAATAGGCAGTACATTGCCATCTCAGATCTATAGACTCCTTCCAAAAAGGCTGCCCTAATTTAAATAAAGAATGCATAAGGTAATGCATCAGCTACATACCAAATATTGACCCAGCATTCCCTCTTTTTTATTCATAGAACACTCATTTGGAGCACCAGTGAGATAAAGCTCTTTGGAGAATCCCCCCCCCACCTTTTTTTTTTTTAAAGCCAAACACCAAATATGATTCATGCTTAGATGTGTATTTTGGAGCATCATGCCTAGACAATTTTAATGAGAGTTTTGAAAAGTTTTGTGAAAGACCCTGAAAACCACTGTAGCAGTCAGATCTTTATTTGAAACTATTATGTATATAGTCTTAATCCAAATCCCATTTGAAGTCAGTGAAAAAACCCCTGTTGCCTTCAGAGGCCTTAGGATCAGATCCTTTGTTTCCAGAGGTACAGAACAGCAAATTTCAAATGTATGTAAGAACGAGGAGTATACAACTACTAAATAAATGGTAACATTAATCTGTGAAAAAAGACAGTTTTTATAAAGGACAACTCAAAATTATGAGATCTCATATTTGATGGTATATTTTTTTTTAAAGACAGGCTGCAAAGGGCCTGATCCTGAGCATTTTATTCCTACATATCCCTCTACAAATGAAGGTGTCTTGAACAGAATTACATTCTATTTTGGAGATCATAAGTCAAATTTAAATAAAACCCTTCTCGAACTGGAGATTTAAAATATCCTCTGTGAGTGCAGAGGAATACTTGTGGACAGATTTCTGCACCAGTGCTAAGAGAATCACGGGCTGGTTCGCTCTCTGGTGAGAAGTTACAGGCCAGAATTATTAGTGATTCCACAAATGTGCACACAGAGTATGTTAGTGAATATCTGGTGGAGGGGGATTGCTCCAAAGGCCATCAAACTCAGCTCAACAGAATTCAACGTAGCTCAGGTATGGAGTCAGATGCATAAACAAGGACAGATCTGCACAGCCCAGCACAGTTTAGAGCAGACAAACTCAGGACTTGCAGAAGTGCGTGTGCACTTCCAAACACCTACCCGTCCATTTTCTATCTGCTGGGATCACTGCTGGGGAACGCCTATTGTGCTGGCTACAGGGATTCCAACTTTTTGTCTTCTGGCTGCAAACGTGAGTCTAGCTGCACACACACTGAATAAATGAACACTTATCTCTGCGACAATCAAACGCGCTGGGCGAGCACACACTGCACGAACACGCATGCAGCTATGAAGGAACACGCTCCACAGTGTGTCTTATTTGAGAAACAAAACACATGCAGTCCTATTTTTAAATTATTTTTCCCCCCTTCTCGGACAGGTACAGGCACCATAAACCAGCTTTAGGACTGTGGCAGCGTGGCTTTGTTGTGCATCTCAGACCTGCACAAGCACCACCACTGCAGGGGGAGGAGGGAGGGCTGATTACCAGCACCTGCTTCAAGCTGCGAGGGACTGATGCAGTTAGCAGGAAAAATGCCTAATTAGAGCACATTTCCATTTTCCTGAGGGAAGGTGTCACGATCACGGGCCTGCCCCTGCCCTGAGCACCCATGTGCACGGCAGACTCTGAGCACCAAGGCCCTGCCAAGGTTTATGGAACATGTGGCACACGGATGGAGGCTGAGTGCAGCACAGAACCCATTCTGCTCGCAGGGGAGCTGATGAAGCAATGAGTGAATGTGAATTACCTCCCCCCCACCACCAAAAAAAAACCCAAAAAAAAAACCCCAACCTTTTTTTTTTTTCCCCAAAGAAAACTAGATGAAAAAAAAGCATTCCTTCCACTCCTTTTATTTCTGCTTATCTGCTACCGAAGGTTTATGAATACTTGGCATGTACTATGAGAAGACAGTGCTGTACCCACAGAGCCACACAAAATACAATCCAGCCTCACAGTCCCACTCATCTCACATATTCAACAAAGACGAGAACCCCGGACTGCACTCACATCTAGAAGAGCTAACTCCTGCTCCCTTCTCTTTCCCTTTCTCCTCTCCGCCTCCTCCTCCTCTCCTTTACCCACAATAAAATCTCTCGTACCCTGATCCCAACCTGGCAACGTTCATCCGGACGAAATTGCAATTAATTCTCAAAAGTTTAGCCAGATGGCCCAGTTGCTATCTGTGGCAGTAAGGCTCCCAAGGTAGCCCGCCTGCCTGCAGATCCTGCTCCTGTGGGATCACTGCTGTGCCACGCACGGAGCGCGGCTCTGCCCAGCACTCCGCACCCCTCTCAGGCCTGGAACACAGGGACCTCACCCTTGTGTTCCCCTCGCTCTCCACACCAGTGGGTAAAAGCCAGATTTTCAGCCAAGATAGGTGGGAGGCTAACAAGAGACAGTTCATTTATCAGCAACTCCTTAAATTTCCTTTCGGAGGACAAAACTGCATTTTGAGGATTGAGGTGAGGGAGAAACACTCATTTTGCACTCAACTTGCTCTATCATAGATTATTTTAATTCTGTTTCACTCAATTATTACCTGAAAATACGCAAAACTTCATAATTTTTATCTGAAAATATGCCAAATTTCATCCTAGCCAGCTATAAAATAAATCTTTTAATTAAGCAAAGTATTGTCTATGCTTTTCATTTTTCATTACATGCACCAAACATTTTGTACGAGAATCTTGGCACTCCAACACAAAACACTTTGAAAATGTAAATGCTCCAGCTCACATGCATAATTTCTGAAGACATTCATCTGAGGGACTGAATAGTTTTATCAGCAGTTACATTTCAAGTTACAGACTAAAAATAATTTTGAATTTAAACCCTGGAAATTGCCAATCTAATGAACAGATTTTAATCCCTCTTCAATTAACATGCACGTGGTCTTTATACACTGCTATGTTCAGCATACTTATAGAAACCCTCACTGTGAAATAAACCAGGCAATTCTGCTTCTTTTACTTGCAGAAGTAATTTCTAGCAAGTCTCCACAAAATAATGAACTAATATGTGAGAAACAATTTTATATTCCTTTAAGCTAGTCCTCATCAACAAAACAGCCCCCAAGTATTACAAGCTAAGGATCCAAAAAAAAAAAAAAAAATTTCTTTAGATAAATAGCATCATTAGGAGCAGTATTGCCGAGTACTCTGAAATTTCTCAGTGAGGAGTGTTCAGCAGTTTGTGAACCCTCAACTAGTATTTTATTAGCATTGTACCATGTAGCTGCTACAGGCCTCTAAAAACTACTTTGAAGAAATTAATTTTAGCTATCACCAAGCCATATGCTCCTAAATTCCTTTCTTAATCTACACAGTTCACTAAAATATTCTCTAGTTACTTTGAGCATGATCAGCCAATAAATACTGCTTTACTACTCACAGTTATGAGTTGTATTTCAGTTTATGTTGCCATAAAACACTTCTAATGCAATGCCAATACGGAGATGGTTTTGATACAATGCTGTCAATGGCCTGAATTTAAAATTATTTTTTTATAAGTCACTAGGTATTTTCAAATTATTTTGGGGTGGTTTTGGGAGGTTTTATTTAGTTGGTTTTTTGTTTAATTTTTTGCAGAGAAAGTGCCTGAACTTATTTGTATTTGGTCTGTTATTTACTTTAAATCCTAGACATAAATAAAATTAACAGGAAAATATTAAAATATTTTACACAAGCCTCCCATTTTTTCCATTGTGCAGAAAAAGCATTTTGGTTTAGAAACACATATGAAAGGACTAGTTTCCTCATAAAGTGTCCTGAAATATATTTATTTTCAGATACTTTAATTTCCACATAGATTAGTCTATATAAAGAATTGAAAATACCTATTAAGTCTGGCAATTTCACAGTAGTAATAAATCCTAAGTGTTTAACTATCTGTCAAATTGCGCCTAACTCAGTACATCTCTATCCACATACTACTTTGGTCTATAAATGGCATTACTCTAATATTTAAGTATTCTACTTAAAATAAATTCCTTCATTAACACCCGAAGAGAAAAAGAGTGGGAGTGTGCGTGAGCATGTGCCAGATCGCATACGTAAAAGATAAAAAGAAAATACACTTTTGGCACTTATGGACCTTTAAAGGCCTTGAAAAACAGTATTTTAAAATATATTATAAAAATGGTAATTAGAAACTAATACTGAACAATTCCAGGTATAAAAAAAATCTAAACATGAATGATGAAAATATTTATGTTCAAATTCATGCTGCTAAGAAAATCAGGAAATGTAATTGCGATGAGATACAATCATTGAAGAGCATCAGATAGTTACCTGCAAAGCCAGGAGTTGAGCAATGCCACCAGGTCCCTTCTCTCGTATGTGTCCCTACAAATAAACCCCATGCACTGGCTGGTGGCTACGGTACAGCTGCTCTGCACAGGGATGCTTAATAATGCTTCACACTGACTGAAATATTAAATAAATGTAAAAAACTTGCACCGCCCAACTTTGTTTCTTCTCTTAGGCTCCCTTCTATTTTTATTTTTTAGAAGGGAAGGGGGAAGCGCCATTCAGGAAAGCAGTTATATTGTGCTCAATGAAGGCAGGACTGGCACAAGTCCTAGAACATTTGCATTCAGAAATAAAAGCTGTGATCGACCTTTGTCTGCTAAGAAAATGAAGCTTGCTGGTTTTAAACAGGCTAGCGAAGGGAGGGGCAGACTCGATAGAGAGGGAGAAGAGAACCTAAAAAACAGCAACAATAGCAAATATTAGTCTATCACATCCTTAATAGGCAGCAAAGCGATCCTCCCGAACGAGCCCGCACCTCGCCGGGCTGATAACGCACTCCTGGTTAATCATAAATTACCAGGCAGACGCGAGCCAATGTGCCGATCCCCACGTAGTTCCCGAAACTTGATTTTCCCACTTGGCATCCCCCCGCGCTCCGGCGGGAGCAGCTTACCCGGGCAGGGCGGGACGGCGGCCGGTGGATGCGGCGCTGGGTGTTCCCGCAGTCCCGGCAAGGCGGGCGGCAGGCTCCGGCAGAGGCGGCCGGGCAGGCCCGCGAGAGGCGGCCTCGCCCCGCGCCCGCACCGGCCCCGCCGGCAACAATGGGCGGCTGCGAGGGGTGGCAGGGACGGCGGCGAAGGGAAGGGAGCAGAGCAGGCAGAAGGGAAGGGAGAAGAGAGGGGAGGGAGGGAGCGAGGGAGGGAGCGAGGGGGGGAGAGACGGAGGGAAAGAGGAGAGGAGGGGAGAAAAGAGAAGCGTGTTAAGCTTGTCTGGTAGTTAACAAGTCTTGAATGAAGAATGTTAGCAAACAGACAAACAGCATGTCTGATGCATGCTAATAGTCCTGGCTTCACCACTGACAATATGAATAATTCAGCAGAAAGGAGGGAAAAGAAGAAGCGGGGGGGTGGGGGGGGAGAAAAAAAAAGGGAAAAAAAAAAAAAAGAAAAAAAAAGGGAAAAAAAAAAAAAGCATCCTCCCTTCACGCTCCCAAACGTCTGCAGAGGAGACGGGAATAAAAAGTGTGCCGCAACTTTCTCCTTCCCACCCATCGCACAGAAAATATTCAGCAAAAAGGCCGGCCGGGCACCAGCCCTTTCGGAGGGGGGGGAGGGTGGAGAGGGGGAGGAGACTGTACAAGATTCAACCTTGAAGAATCTTCTTTGTGGAAAATATGTTACCGTAAGAAAAAAGGGATGAGATAGTTACTTAAAGAGAGTCATAGTTGACCCTCTCACTTACTATTCATTTTGTTTATGCTATCATTGCTTTCCTGATATACTTTTAAAGCAGCTAGGCAGCTTCAACTGATTGGAAAAGTCAATACCATGTGTATCAAAGTTTGTAAAATATTCTTCAGGAAAAACAGTATATTAATTGACATTTGATTCCACTAAATATTGATCATGAGGTGATAGAAAAAACTGCAATGTAAAAAGAAAGCCCATAGACGCATGTCTCTATCCCATCCACAGCGGCTGCTCTCCAATGCACTATCCTGCAAAATGGAGCAGAGGGTTTCACACCCGGACGCTCTTTCCAAGATGCATTTCCTCCTTCCATAACCTCCCAAGTGCAGCATTTCAGTGCCCAGCTGTGGTCAAGATGCTGCCAAAGGCTCTGTCCCACGGCCCAGGTATCCTGGCTCACGAGGCGGCCGCGGAGCCGCACGCGCCGTGCCTGGCACGGCCAGCCCTGCCCGGGCTGGAGCAGTGAGCCCTGCTCCCAAAGTGCCCAGCCCCAGCCCAGGCTGGCAGCAGCGATCCCTGCTCCCAAAGTGCCCAGCCCCAACCAAGACCAGAGGGCACGGGGTGGCACATGTGGGTTTCTCCGAGCTCCAACGACTCCTGCTGAGGCAAATTTAGGGAACCTCTGTTACCCATTTCCATCCAGCCTCAGATCTCCAGAAAATGCTCAACCCACCAGCATTCTGAGGAGAATACACATTTCTTCTGTAAGCAAAATATATGTTTTAAGGTTTTCCCTTACCAACTTTTTTTTTTTAATGGTGTGAAACCACAAAATGTTTCTAATATTTATTTTTAGGGAATTATAGTAAAAGCATACTAGAGATTATCAGGACACAGTTGACAAGATATTTAAACAGTAACTTTCCCACAAATATTTATTTCGGTAAAATGACACCTAGTAATTCTGACCTCTTCTAATAACTGGTCTCTATTGCATATAGGCTGTGGATGCAGAGGATGTGCATAAATTCTGGGTGGTTAGAAAGTAAAAGCAAGCAAAATTTCTGGATAACGGCCTTAGCAGCAGATAGCCATCACATCCAGCTAAAACTCTTATAATTTTTGTTTTAAAATAATGGCATGAGATTACTGACAGTATTTATTTTAACAGAACATCCACAGATGAGAATGTTAACCCTGCACAGAAAAAAAGAGATTACACGTAACAGTGCAGTCAACAACTTTTAATGCCAATGAAATATAAAAGACCTATTTTTTAGGGAAGGACTGGACTTATGTAGACAAATTGCTTAGTTCAGAGTGTTTTGCTTGTATTTTATCAGCTTTCTGAATTACTTTCCCCGTTGTTTCTCAGACATGATTTTTTGCTCCCTATTTATTTTTCTACTTTCTATATAAAACATAGGTCCTCTTGTTCTTTACTTTCCATACCTTTCCATTCCTTTCTCATTTTTTGTTAATGTGAAAACAGCTGAGGTTCATCCCTTCTTCTGCCTGTTCCTAATGGGGATAATTCTGGTGCATTCAGAGGGTTAAAAGTGCCTCGCCTTTACACAATTATGGCTCGTATTCATCCACCCAAAGCTAGCCTTCCTCAAGGAGACACATAAATGCATTCTGTCACCACAGTCGTGAAGTAAGGTTGAAAGTTGTCTAACTTTAGGTTACTGCAGAACTAAAAAATTAGGGATTCAGGAAACAGGAAAACAATTACCTCAAGTTCAACTTGCAAGTTTCACTTAACAGAAATGAAATTCCAAAAAAGGGAGGTGGAAGAATTATTTTAAGATTCATCATCCCTGAATAAATTCAAATTATGCAAACAGTAGTAAGCCAGTATTTTCACACCACAGATTATACTAATACAGAATTTTATATCTCCTTACTTTTCTTTTCTCTCAAGTTATGTCTATTGGAAACTCATAAATACTCCTGCTGAACACTAATTAATTTCCTTGTATTTTAACTCAGAGTGGCATCTCTTGTTCTTTCCTCTCAGTTTGGTATGACAGAGACATCCACACTGAGGTCACCTCTAAACAGATCATGATTTTTTGCTCTCCAGATAATACAGCTCATTTGCAATATGGGGTGGTTTGTAATTTAACAGCCTTCAGAAATATTTAATAAAATATGATCAGGTGCATTCTTAGGTTGTTTTTTTTTTTCTTTATAATCCAATAAAAAGATTTCTTTTTTAAAAAATATGAAGTTATCCAGAAAAGTGTAAATTCCTCCTTTTTTATTTTATTGTATCATTAAAATAATTCCAGTGGAGATGATAAAAAAAATCACTAAGAATAATTTTACTGAACATTTAGACAGCTTTTGCTTTTAGAGGTACTTTCTAGGAACTGAAAATAAAAATAATTAAAATCTAACTAGAAAAGCAAAGCAGTCTTTGCACCATTCCCTGAAAGGACCAGTCTGGGGATTACAGGGGTGCACGCTTCAGAGAAAGGACAGCAATTACACATAGTGCCATTGTGCACGTCACTTGGGAAAGTTCTATTTACTGCTGGATAACTTGCATTAATTCCAGTGGATCAGTGGCCTACTAAATTATGGGGGGAAAACACTGAAATACCAAATAGGCAATTCTGAAATGATCTAAACTGTAAAAGCGAGCTGAATGTATTTCTACACCCTTCCCTTCAAAACATAATGAAGCATTTTGCAAAAACACTTCCTCCAGTACACTGTACTTTAACAATACTGCTGTATTGTATAAACTTTAACAATAGTGTTGCACAGAAAACTTGGCATCAAACCGCTATCAACATAAGTGAAGCTCTGGCACTAGGACGAGTGACTTATTTTTAATTTTTTTTTCTTTTTTTTCTCCTGCAAGAAAGGAGGCATTAAAAGGGGCGGCTGCACGAGCAGGTTTTTAAGGGTGCTACCGACATAATGTTTATCGTGCAACTTCTTTTTTTTTTTAAATTATTTTTTTAGAGGTTTTTTTCACTCTATTCGTGCCTCGGGAGCGGCGGCTCCTTGGCAGCCCCGCTGCAGAGCCCGCTCCCTGCCGGGCGGCATTCCCGAGAGCCCGCCCGGAATGCGCGCCCGGCACCCGGCTCTGCCCCGGAGCGCCGCGCTCGCACCCAGCGCTGCCTCCGCCTCACGGGCTCAGAACCTCGCAAAATGGGCTGCTGGAGATTTAAAAAAATAGTTTACAAAAAATATAGGAAAAAAAAAAAAAAAAGAAGGGAAGAAAAAGAAAGGAAAAATAACACATTAAGGAAAAAAAAAAGTTTGATTTTAGAGAGTGATAAGCTGCAAAAAGTAAGCAAATACACATGACGAAATCATCTTGAAAACTTACAATCTCTCAGGTCTAAAAGGGCTTAAAATTCCTGTACATCATAATTTACTTACAGGTTTTTAAAGTACTCAAGAGCAGTCCAGTGACCAAGTTCTCTTGTATTAAGTATCTGTGTTTTAATTACACCAGAGTGCAACAATCCTGAACAAAGTGAACTGCAATGCACACGAAATTTACATACAGCACAAATTCCTTTGTGGTTTTTTTGGTAGTGAAATGTTAGCAAAGATGAAAAATTTGCATGAACTGTAAGAAAATAAAAAGGGACTTCCATTACAGTATCACTTTCATAGCATAACTGCAACTACTTACTACACACAGAGACAATCCAAAATGGTTGTGGATACAGAATTCTGTTTGTGAGTTCAGTGTTACTTTCAGATGTATTTATGTGGCCCACTTCAGCTCTACAGTTCAAGTTACCATTTCTTCTGAGCCCATTAAAGGTAAAATATAGGGTACACCTTAATTTGCTATCTAAAGGATAACTGGCACCGCACACAGGAACAGTATATTGGCACTGGTAAATTTAAATCCCTCTCCCTTGAAAAAAAACCAAACCCTCCTAACATGAACAATATTGACATGTTATTGTTATAATCAAATATAATGTCAAGAGAATAATGAACCTATTAGAAGTATTAATGTATTTATCCAGCCAGATAAATACAGGCTTTTACACTCCTGGTATCACCTGCAGGTATAATATATAGTTGTGAAAAAAGGACACTACTTTATAGAATTTGTGTTGCATGAATGGTGTCATTTGAGTCTTTTGTTTGTCTGTCGTGTCACACTTACTGGAGTTGTCACATGTGCATCATTAAGTTTCATGAATTTCAAAGGGATGCCTGAAGTTATAAACTCATCTTTACCATAATTCTGCTACGTTTTAGCTGCAGTGAACAAAATGTCCTGCACAGAGGCACAAGTGATACAACTAAAGGTCTCTTCTCTCCCTGTGGACAGAAAGGGCCAATTCCAAGGCTTGGGATGAGGCCGTGCTCCTCCTGGGCTGTCACTCCACACTGGTGTGTAAAATGGGTTTTAGAAAGGAGGGTCATTTTGGTGTTGTCAACAAAGCAGAAATTCAGTGCAAA